TTAAGGTATGCTGATACAAGAAGCACAGGCTACATCACTCGGCATATAGAAACAGTGCCAAGCCTAAGAAGCGACGCTTCATGTCGTCCCCTAGGAAAAACACTATACAACGTTTGCTAAGCTTGTAGTATGCAAGTTTTCAATTTTGGCTTGGGGCAGCCGTCATACAGAATTAAGGAATGCACCACTCAAATATAGCTACCGGATATACCAGTGTTTAAAAGCAATCACATGGGGGCACAGGGATATGTCATTGAAAGCTATCAGTTTGCCAAAACGTCATAGCAATGCGTCCAACAACAGACACTTTGGTGGGATTGCGGCATTACAGTACAAAGATGGAAAACGTTTCGTTGCAAAATCTAGTTCGCGATAAGGAATGACTGAACCAGACTAATGACTACAGCGCGCTTGTTGGAAAAAAACTGAATTACAGCGGTTTAGATACAGTCACACAAACATGAACTACGAAGCTACATCGACGGCTTCAAAGCAAGGATTTTAGCACATTGTAACAGGTTTTCGACGAAGGTGTCATAGAATTCTTAGCGTTGTGCGGGTTTCAGCATTCTGAAGACATGGTCTTCAAACCGGATATAATACTGTAGTCGATGACGTACACCTGATTATAACCTAGTCGGCTGTAATGTATACCTGATTATAAATTATTCGAATGGTTATAACCTAGTCGGCTGGCTATAACCTAATCGGCTGGTTATAACCTAGTCTGGTGGTTATAGCTCAGTCAGATGATGTAGCGAAAAACGTAGGGGACCCCAAATAGGGGCGCGCCCATATATATATATATATATATGGATGGGATGGGTACTTCTCTGAAAAAGGGTCCCTTTTTAAGGCTGTTGTGTGCAGGGCTTCGGCAGCTTCGGGGCGCTGGCGTCAGGAAACGGCAGGGCTCAGGTTTACCATATTGGGAGTTTCCGAAAATCAGGGGGGCCTTACTTGGGGTCCTTACAATAAGGATCCTACTATTTGGGGTACTATATTGGGGTCCCCTATGTTCGGAAACTCCCATATTCTGGAACACCGTGTCTTACTTAATGAGTATGTACTACCCTTGTTGATTTTTTATGGATATTACTATACTGTAATATTGTTATTAAATTTATTTTTGCCAGTACTTTCGTCCTCACTATCATGGAGTCACAAAGTCACATGGGCTGAACATGCACCTCTCCTCTGTAAAATGCAGGAGCGAATGCTGCTGTTGTGTTTCAAAGCTGCTCGGCAATCAGGATGATTGCATGCTGAGATTGAACTCGGTGGCATGGGCATCCCAAGCTCCCAGTACCTACATAAGCCTGTGGCCGCCCAAGTGTACTTTTTGTTTGGGATGCCTTGGCTCATTGCCGGAAGGGGTTTAGGTTTTAGGGTAAATTTTAGCGCTTATAGTTTAAGTTTAGGGCTTAGGGTTAAGGGTTTAGGGTTCCTCAGCTGCAGAAGCTAATGAGGTGCTACCTCGCACTACGCTCTCTTAGGCGAGGTGGAGGGTGCCGTTGCCGGGTGATTCGTGGATTCGGCTTGCACTGTTTAGCTGGCGGTGTGAGCCGGATGTTCAGGATTTGCATTCCTACGGTGACTTCGCCCGCAAGGTTTCAAGATTTTACAGTTTTTCGTTTCGTTGAGTGGCATGCATGCTCCCAGGCCCCGAAGACTACTTGCATCCAGCGCATGAAAGCAGCAGAGGTCTGCATGCCGCGAAAACCTGCCGAGCTTGTGCATGCACTCCAAGATGGGCTTTAGGCTTCTTGTGCCCGAGGCACAGATCGTAAATGCATGCATCCCCGCAGGTCTCGCCGAAAGCTTCGAGGTGCGATGCAATCTGGGTCATTTGAGAGTCTAGAGTCTTGTGGCCATATTCGGGCAGTAGCAATACTTTGAGGTCAGTGAGATCCCTTGATTCGGCCTCATGAAACTAGAACGGCGCGGCTTGGAGATCCACAAAACCAGGACCTTCCGTGTCTTCACGGCCTTTACATTGGCCGAACGATGTAGCTCAAGAGTTTCTCAAACCTTGTCGCAATGGCATATCTCTTTAATCGCGATAAGAATGATGTGATAAAAAATGCTACGACAATGTACTACCACTGCTACTATTACTGCCGCTACTACTGCTACTATTACGACGACTGCGGCTACGACGACGCTGACGACTACCACTACTACTACTGCTACTTCTGCTACTGCTACTACTACTACTACTACTACTACTACTACTACTATCACTACTGCTGCTGCTACTACTACTACTACTACCACCTCCTACTGGTACTGCTACTGCTACTGCTACTGCTTCTGCTACTACTGCTATACTACTACTACCACTTCTACTACTACTACTACTACTACTACTACTACTACTACTGCTACTACTACTACTACTACAACAACTGCTACTACTACTACTACTACTACTACTACTGCTACTACTACTACTACTACTACTACTACTACTACGACGACTTCTCCTGCTGCTGCTCCTGCTACTACTACTACAGTACTACTACTACTACTACTACTACTACTACTACTACTACTACCACTACTACTACTACTACTACTACTACTACTACTACTACTACTACTACTACTACTGCTACTATCGCTACTACTACTACTACTACTACTACTACTACTACTACTGCTGCGGCTACTACTACTAGTGGTGGTAATTCAAGTGGTGATTCAGTATTAACCATTTCCCCTTTTATTCTGCGTTTCTGCATTGAAGCTGTTTTAAGAAAACGGGGCAAAAGGTGTATGCAAGCATGTCGCGACACGCACACTTACACTCTGTGCATATACATGTATATATGCATACATACCTACGTACAAACATACATACATGCATATAGGTACATACAGACAGACAGCCAGGCAGGCAGGCCGGCTGCAGGTAAGAAAAATGCCGTGCGGAGTAATTAGCAGCATTGCTTCGGATCGGTCTGATGTCCGCGTAGCTGGTTCAACTACTACTTATGTGTTAGAAAGCAGCCATGTTTGAGGTGGTGTAATGGGGTTCGGCATAGAAGCAGCAGGGAAATTTTCTGAGATTTGTCCCTAAACCCTAAACCCTAAACTTACCCTTTCAGGTTGATCAAGCGCAGCTCGAATCGAAGTACAAGGATGGTCGTCCCCAAGCCTCGCCCCCTGCAGGCCTTATCTTGGGCTCCTTATAACCAGGATCCTACTATTTAGGGTACTATATTAGTATATTAGGGTCCCCTATTTACGGAAACTCACACTTAGGCCTTAAATGTACTCTGAACCCCAATACCTTAAAGTCGTCAAACTTTCGAGCCCCAACGCCCCTATGAGCCTTAATGCTTAATGCTATTGGCCTTTTCGGTGAGGTGCAGCTAGAAAAGGCTCACAAATCCTATGTTGAAGGCTCCTAGGGGCTATTTCCGGGGTTTATGGGGGGGGGTTGAGGCAGGATGTATAGGTTGTGCTGCTTGGCTCGAAGATCTGAGAGGGAGGGAGAGTTGTCGTGCTCTGGTGTTCTCCTTTTAAGAGGTTTAGGGCTTCGGGTAAAGCATCCTACCCTTAACTTGAATATCATCCAATAAGCTTTGCGGATTTTGATTTAAGCCCGCCGTGATTTCTGGAATCTCGTGGTGTATAGCAGACCTGCTGTGTCCCAAGACTGCGAATTGGCATTCCTGCACAACACTGAACGTCAAGACTTGCAATGACCTGAAGTGATTCCCTAAAAACCGTCACCCCTAAGGATAGAGGATCCTTACTATAGCACCCTAAATAGTAAGATCCTTATTATAAGGCCCCCAAAATAAGGTAACCATGTTACCCGGCAGAGCCTCAACCGTGGAATTCCAACCGGGGGTACCCGGAGAAGAGGGACAGTTCGCTCATCCTTGATACAATACCTCCCAAAACAAACCCCAAACCCAAAGCCCTAAAGGCCTTGATGGGATCCTTTAGTCACGGTTTAGGGCTTAGGGTTTATTAGTGGTTCCTCTATTGGATTCCGAAGCACCCGATTGCTTTCCGAAGGAGCTGCAGCGTCAGTTTCATCCGGATAGGCACGTAGCCTCCTCCGAGGAGCCCCGAGTGGCTCTCGTTCAGGGTCAAGGGTTTGGGTTTCGTATTTGCTTCAGTTTAGGGTTTAGGGCATTGCAGGGTTGAGCCTTTGTTCAAGGCTTTCCCTTCCCATTCTCCCTCGGCCTGCATGCTGGAAGGATTGGTGCATGCTGTCTCGACTGTTTCTTTTCCTCGGCTGCATGCCTCGTGTCTTCTGATAAACACTGGCTAGTCCACACGCTTCGCTGTGGATGGCACCCATGTCCCGGGGGCAAGCATTTTTCTTAGTGTGTTATGTACGATTGTAACTTTGTTGCTGTGAACTGATGCTGTTTGATGCTCGCTCACAGGGTCTAGGACCGTTTTCTCTTGGATCCTCGGGAGATCTTTGAAGGGTCCGCCCTCTGAAGCCAAGACCAGGCCATGAAGTAGGCCTGAGTCATCGATCTCCTCCCCGGCGGCAGCTGCTTCGGTAAGGGCTTCGACTCGTCAAGCAAGTTCTTGTCCAGGGCATTGTTGTATGAGCAAGCACAGCTGTTCCTTGTGATCAGTTGTTGCTTTGATTGAAAGCTTGGTACAGTATTACCTAAAAAGGACTTCGAGGTAACAACGAAACTTCAATGTTTCAGCCGAGTTTCTTCCCTTCGAAGATGTCCTTGCCCGCCAGCTTCGCTTGAAACAGAGGACTGGCTGAATCTTTCGATACGGTATGGTGTATCAAGCCCCAAGCCGGAACCGCAAACTTCTCCACAAGAAAGCTCGGAACAGCACTGCTCTTTGTCAAGAGAGCCCTTGAAGCCCGCAGCCGCGCATCCTTTTCCTCTGCAGTTTCCACTGCAGCTTCCCCTTCTTCCTTGGGATCATTGACTTAGGTGTGCAAACAACCAAGAAAGACACGTTCAGTAAGGGTTCGTCACCGACAGAATTCTGGGAACAAATACTCAATGTGGGTCTGTGGAATGCTTTCTTTGTGTTAGTTTGCAAAGGTCTAGAACATTTATTTTGTAATTGACACGGGAACAGATGTTAAAAATCGGCCCAGTCGCGTCCACTCGGTCAGCCTCCTCCTCTCTGTCCAGGTCAGCGAGAAGCTGCTCACAAGCAACACAAGCAGGATCGATCTCCTGCTCTGCCTGCTTGGGGATTCTGACACAAACCGAACAAAAAGCAAGTCTTTGCTTTCGGGGTTTGAGGACATGAAGTACAACCCGACTGGCAATGTTTGGAGGCCTGCTCCACGTCGCCCTCTTCATCTTGCTCATCGCCTGTATCGCCCTTTCGCTTTTTCTTTTGATCTTGATGCAAAAGCTGTGCTTCGATCTTGTCCCTCAAGTTCTGATCTGTGTGCTCGGCCACAGAAGTAGACTCCATGAGCTTTCTGATCTTCGCTGCTTTTGCAGCGTTCTTCGGCAATCTCATGCCCTCCAAAAGGAGAAGCTCAGTCAGTGCAGCTGATGTGATTGTAAGAATGCGTTCTGTTCGAAACAAAAACACCAGGAGGCTCCAGCCCCTTGGGGCCCTCCGAATCACAATGCTGCCTGTCTTTGCAGCAAGGGCAGCATCTGCAACGTGGAAAGTGCACTGAAAGATCTCAGCCTGAAGAGGGAATGAAGCCCAGGCATCGCGGATATTAGTGGTTCTCTTCTGCTTTTCCTAGTACCTCGAATGAAAATTAAACGAATGATGTGCAGATCTAGTGACCTGCTGCGGTGTCATGCGAACATGTCGAAAGATGTTCCTTGTTGTGTGCTTCTGTTGCAAAGAAATAAAGCAAAATTGTGGCAAAGACAAGAAACACGGAGCTCCTTCTTATTTATAACGTCAAAAGCAAGAAGAAACACATTCGTCAAAGTTGCGGCCCACTCAGGAAGCACAGGGCCGGCGTGGAATCCTCTGAGTGTTGGAAAGGATCCTCAGTCTTTCTTTTGGCCTTGCCAGCACAGGAGATCTCCTTGCCGCTTGCGGGTGGCAGGGGCCCTTTGAAGCACCACGGAAGCTCTTGCAAAGCGATAGCCTCAGGTTAGGTGTCAGAACCAGGAAATTGCGAATAGAACACGACTAGTCTTCCCCGGTCCCTGTTTCTCATTAGACCAACCAAAACTGTTGATGCGGAAAGTTAATTGTAATTATGGCCAGCAAATGAATCCAGGAGACATGAATCACAGCATAGGTGTTGCCTGTGCACATGAAGAATTTGCCCTCGTGCCGAAAAACAACTCCTCTCTCAAAGCAGCTTGCAACCCAGAAGTGGTTCGAGGCGTCGATCGGGCTTTCTCCATTCCTGACATGGAGAAATCAAAAGAACAAGCTAGGTCTAGCTACCATGTAGCACAAAGATTGGTGTGTACAGAATCTGTTAAACTCAACCGGGGTAGCTTGAAGGCTGATTTCCAGGCGAGCAGGCAATTAAGCCCGTGATGGGTCAAGTGATGGGCAGACGTGGTTGCGAACGGCTTCAAGATTTCCTCCAAGCGGATGTTCTTGCCTGGACGGCACCATGATTTGCACATTGTCTGAAGGCGAAAATTTAAAACAACACTGCGAATCTTTGCTAGCTAGCAGTTTTCCTTTGATCGTGTGATGCAAGGCACACGGCAGGGCCGAAGTGGGGCTCCAAATTTTGTGCTTCAGCGCCCTGACCTCTTTGCCCTCCCAGTCCTTCTCAGTCAACTCGGGAGTGGCCGGTGTAAGCTTCTCTTCGGACTCATTGCAAATCCTGCGACCCAAGGCTCGGACAGCCACACAACCCAGATTTGTCAAATCGTCCTGAGGCACACCAGACTTCCGCACAGCATACTCCATTTCGCGAAACACGTTTTCCAGGTTGCTGGACTGACCGAAGGCAGGGTACCATGCTTTCACCACTTCCCCAATCTGCTCCACGAATTTGTATCCATGTCGCTCGCACACAGAATGAAGTTCGCGATAGCATTGGAAGGTTGTGAACAAGCAGTGCTTTTTGAGCAGAAGCTGCCCTGCTGTCGATTTTTCCATGTCCAACACCGTGCTCCACTCTGCTTTTGCTTCCTGCAGAACCTGTGCCCGAGTGGCCTCTGTGCTTTCTGTAGCTAGGAGGGCAGCCGACAAGGCAGGGAAGGAACGGAGGTAGGAGGCGTACTCCAGGAGTTCGAAACAGCATGCGAGGTAGGCAAGCACTTGCTCGAGTAGCGTTTCTGCTGTCAGCGGGTCCCTGGAAAAGTTCACACGTAGAGCCTTGCAGGGTTTTTAAGCTTTAGGGGCCTTTGGGTTCCTGGGATGATGACAAGATACTTACTCGTGTGTCTTACCGAGTACGATCTGAAGCAGGGCTCGTGTCCAAGCAAAGGAACAACAAACTCGGTTATTATGTGGGCGTTTCGTCGGGAAGGAGTTGCCAGAGTGCTGCAGCTGCAGCTTTGAAACACGACTTGAATTTGCCGAACGGAGCTCAGGCCTGTTGCATGTGTATGTTCACGAAGAGTTTGGGCCCCGTAGTCTCGCACTGGACCCCGTTTTTAGGATTATTCTAAGCGTATAGCTCAAAAGACCAGTGGTAAGCTTTAGCGTTTAGGGTTTAGGTGTTTAGTTAGGGGGGTTTCATGGGCTCTATATTAATCTAGGGTTCTACAATCTAATACAGAACTAACAAGTGTAGTTAGCCCAGAACTCTAGTAGCAACACATGGCACTAGCTTGGTTCTCCTACAGACAGCACAAGCGTACTCGAACAAACTTTGGTATAGGGCGGGCTGCCCAGCAGCAATGGCCTCGTTCCCAGCCACTTCAACATCGGGCTTCTGTCCCAAGACATCAGATGACAAGCACTGCGAGGCCAGGGCCGAGAGCATTTTTTCCACGTTGGCGTTCATGCTCATGTTGTGCACGTGACCATGCAGATGCCACAGCTTGCGGGCATTCTGCTGCTTAGTTTATTGTGCACACTACATTCACTACATGTGTGTGTCTGATCAATGCAAAAAACACAGCCTGTCAGAGTCTGCAGTCGAGTGGCCAATTGCACAGAAAGCGTGCGAAAGGGCTCCATCAAAACCCGCGTGGATTTCCACATTGCATATACTTGCTCATCCATGAGTGCCTTAGTCAGATGGAAACGGGAGAATCATGGCTATTATGTTGGGCTTGGGCAGGTCAGAGTCTGCAAACCCCGAACGATGTAGCCGGGCTGCACGAACCGTCAAATCCACGACTTTCTCGAAGCTGGATTCAGGAGCCTCCACATCGGCCTGCTTGGAGAGAATGTGGAACGGGTTGACGCCGGCCTGCACAGAACAGAGGGTCTCACAGGGAGTTGTGCTGAAGGTTAGCTGGGGCTTTCCAGTTCGGGTAGGCCTTCCTAGGTTGTACAGGGGATGTTTCAGCCGCCTCGATCCCAGTCCAAAACAACAGCAGCAGTGTGCCAGTGAATTGGGTTCTTTTGGATGTGTGAGCCCACGAGCACCATCTCGAGAAGTCGAAGCCATCGTCGTGCAACCTAAAAGAATCAGACTGCGATAGCCTAGGACCCTGGTAACCCAGGGGCAACTCAGAAAGAGCAGTTGCCACGAAGAGAACAAACAGAAGCATTGTGAAAGCCGAGTGGCTTCACCAACTTCGAGAGAATGCCGACGACATTTTCGAAGTCCTCATCTTCGTTCTCGGTTGGCGCGAGGCCATTCCTGCAAGTCGGCTGTTAGTGGGGTTCTGTTTGGGAACCTTAGGGAAGTATGGGTATCGCGATTGCAGCGCAGAGTCTCAAGAAGGATGTCTTTGCCGAACATCTCTTGCAATACATCATCAGGTCTTGCCTGGTCTGATAGCGTGTGCTGGGGTGTATGCCCGTAGTCTTCTTTTATGTCAGATCCGATTGCCTAGGACATAGGAACCTAAAGGCAGCCTAGTTGCCACATCCAAGTACCGTTCCCCTGCAGCCTTTAGAGAACATGTAATCCCGTGCTGATTCCAAGGGGATCGTCGGCAGCGTGATATCCACGATGTCAGCGTGTACATTCCTAGGCTTCAAGTGTAGGCACAAAACGAAGTGTACCGAAAATATGAAAACAGCCACTCACTAGCGTAATAGTGACACAGAACCTTCCTAAGGAGACCATGCAAAAGCACAGCCCAGGATCTCTTCATCACTTTCGTGGACTGCAGGACGCTCTTGCAGGCATTGTGCAGCTTGTGACTTGGCTGGAAACGTGCTGGGAATGCACACTTCAAACGAAGTATATACTTACTCGAAGCAGTCATCTAACCTTGGAGGCCAAACCTGTAGACTGGAGAGAAAGCAATGTGCAGACAGAACACCACTCGTCACGGTTGAACCCAATGGCAGCTCCTTTCGAAGCCAAAAACATAAAGCCCGTGAACAATGAGGATCCCTCGTCCGGTGCCAAGACGAGGCGGTAGTGAGCCCCGTTCAAAGGCTCCCAGTGGCACTCGGAGGTCATCGCATTGTGCACATACATCCTGTCTTCCCCTTCAAAGCGGTGACACAGCCGCTGCTCCATCAGCGGGTTGATGGGACGGAGGCTTTCATCCGGCCAGAGCTGGTCGAAGTTGATGCCCATATGTTGGATGCAGTTGTGGAGGGCCTGCAGCTGCTCTTTGGCAGCAAGCTTCTTTTGGTGCACTTCTTTGATCTTGCGAGGCCTTAGCAGGAGCCAACATCCCGGCGTTCAGATTCAAGTACTCCAAACATAACAGCTGGCTGTTGCAAGGAAGATTTTGATTGACTAGATTCATTTTGGGCTTGTGTTCATCGCTGGTCCGGTCGGCCACCAGGAGATCTGCTGTAGCACCGGCGATCTGGGCTGCAGCTTTCATCTTCGTAGCAGTATCCACCTCACTCACGTGGTGGGGATCCATCTTTTGCAAAGTGCCCACTGCTGCAAAGTCATTGCAGCACACCACCGGAAGCCAAACCTTAGATTTAGGAGACACGGTGCTAGTGATGGCTCTGGCACTCCGGACGACAAAGTTGCTGCGACCTAGCAGCACTCATGTGGCCCTTGGGACTTGCGTCGCAGAGGACACTGAAGCTCTTCAGGGTCATCTTGGCAATCTCCTGTCACTGACTCACGAGAAGAGATTGGTAACTTGGTGTGTGTGTGTGTGTGTATGTGTGTGTCTGTGCGTGTGTGATTGTGTGTGTGTCTGTGTGTGTACACCTGTGTGACTGTGTTCCTGGCCGGAGGGTGTGTGAGTGTGTGTGTGTGTGTCTGCTCGTGTTACGTCATGTTAGCAACGTACGATGTGCATGTGCATGTGGTTGTTGCTGTGTGGTTATTCCTTGGTCTGTGCGTGTTTGTCTATATGTGTTTGTCATGTCATGTGTCTGCTCCAGCCCACCCCAGCACCCCTAAATCCCTCCACTCAGCTGAAGTGCAATTTCGCAGCTCGGTTGGAGGGGGGGAGCTCATGCGTACGATGCTGGGCCCCTGCCGTCTTGGAAAGGGGGAAACACCAAGCGAGAAGTTGTCTCGTCTGGGTTGTAAACAAGTTCGGGGGGGAAACAAGCATGAATTTTCAAACCAAACGAGAAGTTGTTCTCGTTTTGTTTGAAAACAGGCTCGCCGGGGGGGGGAGAGGGGGCTGATGCACATGATGTTCCCCCTTTGCCCTGCGGCTTGAAAGGGACTGCTGCATTGACCAGTGGGTTATCTGTCCGAAACAGCAGGGACTCCGACCTCCGCCAAGATCTCGCCAGTTTTCCGGATGTACCGGAAGTAGAAATCCGCTGCAGTCCTAGCATGAGCAGTCTTCTAGTGCTAAGACCAAAGACAAAACAACCGCTGCAATCCCCAAAGTACTGTCCTGCTATAATGGACCGGGAGCACCCCCTTCAAGTCCATATTCTCTAGGCTCTGGTCGGATGTTGCACCAAGAAATCCTCCTCCCCTGCTCAGGAATCTCTGAAGACAAATCTGGCTCTTGGGTTTCGCTTCCAGCCGCAGATGCCGACCGTCCCTCGGATTGCAAGCTTTCGTTAACATGGTGAAATGCATGCACAAGGCACCGTCCCACTATCTGAAAAGTAGATGCTGGTGGCTAGACACTTCTTCGCCGGGTGCAGTTTATGGTCTGCTTGCAGAACAGGTAGGTCAGGTCGAAGGATTGCGGGGAAATTTTGCTCGGCTGCTTGGCTGAGGCGGTGGAGCAATCGCCGTTGAAGGCGGGAGTAGCTGATGTCCTGGCGTGAGAGTTTCAAGCTATCCAGCGGATTGGGTTTGGGTGAAAGACACCGGGTCCTCGAAGCTGTCTAGGAAGGGCACACGTAGCAGAAACCATGCGAGCACGTGCAGTTTGATGCCTAAGACAAGAGGCAAAACAATGCTTCATCGCAACAGGCAGCAGCACCCGCCGCACTACATGTACCTGAGATCGTCGCCTGTCTGCAGTTTCTGCTGGCCCTTGGTGAAGATTTTTGTAAACCTCCACCTGAAAACATGAGGCCCACAGGGACAGCAAGATTGTTCTGTAGTGCGGTCCTCTGTCTGAGGTTGGTGAACTCTAGGAAGTCATTCAGGCTGTCGAGCTGGACTTCGTAATTGCGCACACGAATCAAACCTGAACAGACATATAGGCAACAGCCCAGGAAAGCTTCCTGAATGTAGTTTGGACAGTGACCGGTTTTGCCGACGGGGTACAGTCAGGGCAACCTGGCAGTAGGTCCAGATCCAGATCCCGAGGCACACAAGCTGCCAGTACCACGTGGAGGCATCCCATGGCCGCCTCCTGGAGCGGCGGCTTACAGCCACGGACCTGCAGACCAACTCCAACCTTGGCTGCAATTTATTTACAGGTTTGTTTTTAGTTAAGCATGAGCGAAGGAAAGGGCTTCTCTGAATTTGCTCACGTGTGTCTCGCAACTTGTTAGTTCCGGTTGTGTTTTGTTCTACGGGGTAGGGGTAGGGGTGGGGCAGGGCTTTGTCTTGAAGCAAGGAGCTGCAAACAGCAGCCCTGGTGTGGTCATAGCATCAAAGGGCAGCACGAGCCGAGACTCAGGCACGATGTCAATCTTGCCTTTGTAATCTTGCCGGCGTGGCAAATGGATACCGAGATCCACTTTCCAGGCTTTTGCAATTTGGGTGCCCTGCTGCTCAGGCCTTAGGTTTCATTGCTCATTGCCAAAAAAGCAAGCTGAGGTTACAGGGCCACAGAATGAGACGACATTTGCACAGCTGCTCTGCTGCCAGGAGACAGCTTGCTGAACCAGTTGTGGAACTTTTGGGTTCGCTGCAACACTGTCCAGATCTCTTCAACTCTCCATAAATGAACATACCCCTGAAGAGTGGCATCCAGGGCCTGCTTGACATGTGGATGCGACAGAGTGCAGTGCATGTTGTTTTGTTCATGGCCTTGTGTAGCTGCAGTACACCATTGATTCCAGCTGCGGCTTTGAGATACAGAATCTTCGTAGGGCTGCGAATCTTCTCTGGTGAACTTGCCGAGGCGGATGTGGCTTCAGCTTCTGCCAGCTGCTGCGGCTCTGCAGCCTCTGGCCTTTCTTCCGGGTCATGGAAGAGCTCTGGCCGCAGTGGCAGACCCAACTCGGAGCATCTGTTCCGGAACTTAGCCACAGCCTCCTGTGTCAGGAATGAGCAACCGAACTCTTGTGTTGTCGTATGAAGAAAGGGACATTCTGATCACGAAGCACAGCCGAAGGTGCCTCCCAGAGTCCTTTTGACAAAGCAATCTGACCCAAAGCACGTCCGTGCTGAATGCACGAATCTACAAACTCGATCTTCTCGCGGATTTTCGCTCGGAGGGCATCCCTCGAATCCGGCTCGGTCCTGGCAGGACAGAAAGCAAATCATTAGGCAGGAGGCAGCACGCTGTACGAGGCAGCACGCAGGAAACAGGCCCAGGTGCTCACACAGCTCACGGAGGCGCTCCGTGAACCAGGTCGTCTCCGCCATTCCTGAGTTGGGGCTCGGGGTGTGGACCGCATTCCGCTTCACCGCGCGGCTGCTGTCTCGCGTGCGCGCGTGCGGGTGGTGCGTGCACGTGCCAAACACAAAACGCGGAGCTAGCACGCACTCTCCCAAATCGAGGCAGCATGTGGTCTTTTTCGAGATGCTTCGACGTTTTGGGGTTTAGGCGCTTTCGCCGGGGTTCTAAAATAAGTGCATGCTGCCTCAACTTTTTTCGGTCGGCACGTCGCGCGACATGCGTGAAATTTTTTTTTGAGCTAGCACGCTGCGTTGCCAGGCAGCACGTACAAGTATAAGGCAGCACGCACCCTGCATGCAGGCTTCGAGGCAGCACGTACCCTGACCCTGCTGTTTACCTAATTTTAGGTGGCGAGCAATTTACTAAACAAAGCTTGGTTTACACTTCAAATTTACGAAAAAATTTACGTAAAAAAAAAGTGTAAATTAATTTACTTTGTATAGTAAAAAATTTACACTGCAATGTAAATTTTTTTACACTGCAAAATACATGTTTTTAGGTTACACATTCCCGAATTTGAAGAAGTGAAATGCAAGCTAATTTTGGTTGGTTTTGTTTCTTTTATCATGGTTCTGCTTGTTGATTGCATGAGATTTTCCTGCGACTGTACAGTGCGGCATGGTCAGGTGTGAAGATAAAATTATGAGAATTGTGTTGCAAGCATACTTGTTAAGCCATGGTTTTCCATGTTGAAATCGCAGCTCGGTTTGATTCTGTGCTGGGTCGAGCCGGCGGATTGCTTGCGATGTGTGCTTTTTACATGCGAGAAATCGGTACATGTACATTTGCGAGAGTCATCACAATATAGTTTATACCTGCGAGGAGTCCACCTTTACCTGTGCGAGACTCTTGTAGGTTACATGCGAGAGATCTACTTATATATATATATATATATATACTTTTCTGAGATCCGAGAGTGAGAAAAATTTTCGGACGTTGCAGCTGTGTGTTTGGTCCAGACGAGACCCAGAGGTAAGTGCGAGGCTGGATGGAGACAGAGACAAATGCATTCCATTTTTTTGAGAAATCATAAATCCTATACATACACAGTATATACAGTCTTGCGAGCATGGCTTCCTTAGCAGCTGCAGCTTCGGTCAAGCTGGCGGAGGGCGCTTCCGCTGCAACGGGCAAAAATGCCAAGGACCGAGTGGTTGCCGATCCGCTTATTACAGCAACGGAGCTGGCGAAGGTGGTGTTGGGCTTTCTCGAGTTCAAGAAGACGAAGGACCTGTGGCCTTTACTGTGCCCCCCTCCGGGCGGGCCAATAAGCTACACTTGGCACACTGCCGTCCACGGTCCGTGGTTGGCAAAGACAGCTGGGCTGCTGTTTGACCTTCTTCGCCTCGGCCCGAACACGAAGTTGTTGTCGCAGCGGGTTACCCGAAGCTTTTGGATCCTTCACGAGCAAAAGAACCTGCAGCTCGAAGGCCACAAAGACTACAAGGCAGAGGACCTTGTGGACAAGATGGACACCGCCATCCGTCTTCTTCTTAGCCACCTCCGTGCGATGAAGCAGAAGGAGAGCTTCAAGCGGAAAGTCTACAGGTCCCTGTCGCACGAGGATCAAGTGTGCCGTGGCTGCACATATGTCTTTCGTGTTTTTTCGCTGTATATATATAATTCGTGTGACGGAAGAAAGAAAAGTGTTGCAAACTTTTTTATCTAAGTCTGTGCAAACATACAATCAGGAAGCTTGACCTTTGCCTGGAAAGGGTGCAGGTGCAGGAGTTTGCCCCGAAGCCTCTTGATTCCCCCAGCACGGCCCTTGTTCCCGTGAAGGAGGATGAGAAGCCTGTTCCCTTTCGGTGTGACGAGAAGCCTACTCCTTTGCAGGATGCTGAGTTCCCGGAGTTGCCGGAAATCTTTAAGAACAGCAGCCCGACCAAGTTTCCGGACACCTTGAAGAGCAGCGAGCCGAAGAAGTTTGCGGAGAAGTTTGTGCACATCCATAAGAGCAGCAAGCCGAAGAAGATCGTTATGAAGAAGGGCACCCTGAAGAAGAAGGCCACAAAGGCAAAGAACAAAAAGGCAGGAAAGGCAAAGATCAAGACTGGTGCCGGGGCTGAGCCGGCCAAGGATGTGGAAGTGATCTCTTCCACGGATGAGTGCGACTTGGACATCCTCAAAAATGCCATGGCTTTCATGCCGCCGGTGTCTGTGGCTGTGGCCAAAAAGAAGGGTGCTTCGAAGCCCAAAGCCACCGGCAAGCCGAAAGAGAAGAGCCCCAAGCCCAAAGCCACAGCGAAGGCGAAGTCGGCGGCGAAGACGAAGGTGGCGAAGCTGGCGGCGAAGCCGAAGCCGGCGGCGGCGACTTCGCCGTCTAACAAATGGCTGTCCGCCGAAAAGTACGGATCTTGCAAGGTAGAGTTCTACTCTGAGAAATCCTACATCCGCAACTACGATAACGGCGGCAAGCTGAGGAGCATCATTTCCAGTTGCTGTCCGAAGCATCATGAGGTGATCGAGAAGATGATTCCCTACGTCGAGCAGGGCATCCCGCTCTTGGAGCTCTACAAGCTGCGAAAGGACGTCATGAAGTCGCTGGGGGTTTGAAAACCAAAATGTGTTCAGTGCGGGATGTGATGTGCACCCTGGGTTTTCTGAACTTTGTAGACTATATAACAATCTGAGTTTCAAGCATATATATGTTGTATATAAACGTGGTTTGTTTTCCCACAAATCTGAGAAAACCCATGGGTGCTAGTCACGGTGTGTTTCTATATGTCTTTCGTTTACATGTAGAGCACTACATCTGCCACAATGCCATTTAGCATAATGCATCTTTGGCCCTTTTAGTGAGAAGCACAAAAAGGGTGAACCTTCCGGCAGCAGAGGGGCAATGACTGCGAGAAAAAATGTTTCTTGCATTTGTGTGTGTGTGTGAGGTTGAGTGCTTCCTGTTCTGTGTGATATATGTATTTGATCCCTATCATATACTGTATATATAAGCCTTTGTAACCCCGAAACCACCAATAGCCTAAAGCCTCAAAGCAGGTTTACTTGCGACGGTGATTTTTGTATATGTACTTGCGATGAGTTCTGCTTTTTACCTGTGCGAGTGTTTCCTTTTACATGCGATGTGAGGAGCTTTGTATATTACTTGCGAGATTTTCCTTGTGTGCACCTTTACATGCGATGGGGAGCTTTGTATATTACTTGCGAGATTTTCCTTGTGTGCACCTTTACATGCGATGGGGAGCTTTGTGTTACTTGCGAGATTTTCCTTGTGCAGCTTTACATGCGATGGGGAGCTTTGTGTTACTTGCGAGATCTACCTGCGAGTGTGTCTTGCCTTTAAAGCAGTATTTCACAAAAACCCTCAACCCTCACTAAGCCCTAAAACCCAAAACTAATTTTAAACCCATAAACCCTATATAAACCCCAAAACCCGAAACCCCAAACCCGACTCCCCAAACTTAAACCGCAAACCGACAGCCCGGATTCCTTGTGAGCCCCCAAAAAAACATTCTCCAATGTCTAACACTTTCGAGTTGGAATTGCTTGAGTGCAGAGAATGCCGGCTGAAGAGGTTTATCGAGGCTTTTTTGCGAGATGATGTTGGAGCCGAAACTTGTGGCCGTGGTCGCTGTTTCCTTTACAGCAGGAGAGACTCTAGTTTTGCGACGTAGTATCTCCTACACACGATGTGTTCGACACGATGTCACCACCATGTGCCGATGCGGCTTATCCTCACAGTATTTGTAGAAGGTTTGGATTGTAGATAGCTTCGCATAGATGCTCTGGACTTTTAAAGCATACAACCCAAAGCCATTACCGAGTTTCGGGTGTCAGGCTTTCGGCGCCGGGGCTAGGCTCTAGGCACATTTTTATCCACAAAGAATAAAGGCTGTTCACTTTGGGTGTTCTAACACATATAGCAAGTTTTGCTTCGCGGCCATGGCTACTGTCGACTGCTACCGTGTCTACGTGAAGAATGTCACGTACAGTGCGACGAAGTGGGCCACTCGAAAGAAAAGTAGCTTTGGGTTTAGGGTTTAGGGTTTAACATATATACTTTATATGTACACAATATGTAGATATAGATAAACTCAATACACGTCTATTGGCCACAATCTGACACTCATTACTTTTCTTTTGTGTCTAATTATATATGCTTATATCTACACATATATACAAAGGGTGAGGTTGGTACACATATAGACAGGCATACATATATGTAGTTACATGAGAGAGAGCCGAGGCGATCAGGGCGGCGATCGAGGAGCTTGGGGTGCTGGATTGCCTGAACATACAAGTGGTGCGGGAGCGTTACTGGGAGAAGAAGCAGAGCAAGCCTGATCACTGCTCGATCTTCTTAGAGTTCGCAACTTGGTTTTGAGAAAAATTACTTGCGACCCCTACATAAACCCTAAACCCTAAACCCTATAAACCCCAAACCCCTAACCCCCAAACCCTAAACCAAAGGACTCGCCAGATGCCGCTCAGCTTGCCCGGGCTTCGCTCGACGGGCAATGGCATGGGAAAATGGCGACGAACAAGTACCTGGTGGCAGAGCTGGCGAAGCCGCCCCCTTCGAAAGCTTCGAAGGAAGACGAGTCGTGGGGCAAGTGGGCACCACCACCAGAACAGCCGCCTTGGAAAGGCCCTCCGCCCACCCCCCCTCCACTGGGCCAGGCACCACCGCCATCCCAAAGCCCACCAGAGCCCAATGTCCCAGAACCAGCACTCCCACCAAAAGCCAAAGCAATGCCGACCCAGCCCCCGTACCCACCGCCGCAACACCTTGCACCACCACACCCAAAGGTTCCACCTGAGCAACTTTACGGTTTGGAGACGGTGAAGCCGCAAGCCTGGGAGCTCTGGGTACATGGTGGTCCACGACCCAAAGAATCTTGCATTGCATAGTTCAACAACATGTTTTGTTACACATATCTGCATGTGTTTTTATATATATGTATATATAATCAACATGTGTACAAAGAGCTATAGGGCAGCTAGGGGGGCCAAATCTAAGAATGCTATATGGCATCATGTGAGAACCCCAAACGACCCGCCCTAAAAGATTCATAGTTTCATATTCCGACGACAACACCAGCCCCAGGAGGATGCTGCTGCCCCGCTTGCAGAAGGAGCCTTCGATTCGAACACCAAGACCGAGGCCTGTGGGTGTGTGTACCCTTACTTGTGAGAAGAAGAACAAACTCCAGAGCCACACAATGAAGTAGAGCTCCCACAAAAAAGGACAACAAGCAGCTGCCGCTGGAGCCGGCTGGACCAAACTCGGTGGTGGATGACGGTGCAGTACCCGGGCCGAATCATTTAAGCCATCACCCTGCAAGTAAAAGAAGGCCCTAAATCGGAACTCCACAAACCTATACACAGCAAACGGTTGCTTCGGTTGCTTATATATACTATATATATAGTGAAAGGAAGCTGTGGCCGAGAAAGCCCCCGTCGTCGACGTTAAGCCCTGGAATGAGATGACGGCTGCTCGGTTGGCTGTGGCCCTATAAAAACCTTACTTTTCCAGAACCTTCAACCCTAAACCTTGAACCCTAAACCCCTAAAACCTAAACCCTAACCCTAAACCCAGACAACGATTCCCACCCAAACTTTGTGGTTTTTGAAACCAAAAGCTATATCCAGTGAATCCTCCCAACTCCAAGCTCTATCCCCACAGGCCCAAGAGCAATATGACTGGGCTCTTCTTCACTCTGGCGACGCTTACACGGGACCAATTCCAGAGCCTTTTTCTGCGATAGCAGCAACCTCAAAAAAGCCGCTTTATAAACCGGCACCAAACCAATAGAGCCGGTTTAGGGTTTAGGGTTTTTAGGGTTTCTCTCAAAAATAAAGTGTTCTATGAGCCCACAGCCTTATGTTTAGGAGTGTAGACTTTTTTGTCAACCCTAATTTCTGCCCGAGTCTGTGTGTATTTTTACTTGCGAAGAAGAAGAGTGTGTGTTTCTTCGATATATAGACAACACAAAACCGAGGAAGAGTTTGGCACTGGCTTCCCACCGGAGCCGCCGATCGCCAAGCCGAAGCCGTCTGCGAGGAAAGTGGCCCCGGCCGCCGTGGAGCCGCCCGTGGACCCGCGGCTGAAGCGGCAGATCGCCGAAGCTGAGCAAGCCAATGAGCCGCCCAGCAGGGTAGATGAAGATGAAGAAGAGAAAGAGAAGAAGAAGAAGAAGAAAAAGAAAAAAGAGCCCAAAGCCAAGAAGGCAAAAAAGGAGCCGACCCCACCCCCAAAGGAGCCCAGCCCGACTTCCGAGGGTGAAGGTGAAGATGTTGAAGAGAACAGGGCTCGGAGCTCGGGGCGGGCTCGTAGCTCGGGGCGGGCTCGTAGCTCGGGGCGGGCTCGTAGCTCGGGGCGGGCTCGTAGCTACTCTAGGCGGGCCAGTAGGAGTCGTGCTCGTAGCTACCGGAGCCAAAGGCGAAGGAGCTACCATGGTC